TCTGATGGTTTTTGAAATAGTAATATTATCAACACGAAAAAAATACTTTTCGGTGAGCAGTTAATTTAAGAACTCATTATTTATTGTGAAATTGAAACGATAATAATTAAATAAACTTTGTGGAAGGTGTTCATTGTTACAGAGCCCTGAAGAAAAATTTAATTGAAGTCGAAACGTCGGCAAGAATACAATTGTTTTTTAAGAAAAAATTGATCTTATTACCCAACCAATCCCTTTTTCAGTAATCAATGTAGTTATTGAAGCTCATTTCAGAATCAAAGTGTATGCCAAGAATGAACTGAAAATTTATAGGAGAGTTATATCTGTAAAATGGAATACAAGCACATTTGTTAATATTCAACTGCGACTTTTAAATTCCAACTTCCATCTTGGAATTCTTTTTTATCAAATTGCGAATTTCAATTTAGAATTTTACGACATCATATTCGAAATACAGCGAATTTTATTTTCAAGAAAATATGTGTCCCTTCTATACGCCTGTGTATTCATGTGAAATTTTGTTTCAGGTGTACAAACCCGCAATTTTACGGCTGCATCCGCACTGGTACAGCAACAAATATAGTCAATCCCATCAAAAGTGCCCGTATTCGTAGCCTTCATTCGTTTTCATTCAAATATGGAAAGATCGAAGTCAAAGCCAAACTACCTACAGGGGACTGGTTATGGCCAGGTAAGATTAAAAATGAACAAAATATTCAAAAACTCAAAAAATATGACGATACAGTAATTGTTTTATTAGAAACACTGAGGAGTATCAAACTAAGGAGTGTAAAGGAATATACTAGAATCTTTTAATCTTATGTCATGCTACCAAAGTTCTTACGTAGATATGTTGTGGTCATCTCTCCTAACTTCCAATATATATTTATATTGTTTGTTCAGAATATTATATCATCCCCTATATTATGTCTTTAATCTTTTCATACAAACACTAAACCGCCCTCTTCGCTAATTGTAGCTTATTTCCAATGGAAAGGTGTTTTTTACGAACGAACGGATGGTACCAAGATGGACAGTTCATTAAGTCCGGCGGTGACGAACAAAGGGCCTTGGAGCAAGCGGCCGTGTAACCATATTGTTGGCTGCGTTATGTTGATGACACGTTCGTGGTGTGGCAAGAGACACAAAACGAATTTCTATTTTATCTCGACCCAAAGATCTACTTCACAATGGAACGATAAATCCAAGGGACTACTGGTAGTGAAACTGGTACATTGGGTGTATAGTATAGTTTATAGTATACTCATAGTATAGTGTATAGTAAACCAACACACAGATAGGTACCTGAATAAAACTGTAACCATAAGCTACAACAAAAGAGAGGGGTGATTGAAACGGTGAGAGGGTACGACGCTTCTGTAAACCTGAGAGTCTTCCTAAGGAACTCAATGACCTGAAAAATGTCTTCGAAGGGAAGTAGAAGTCGAGCGGGCCATACGACCCAGGAAAGAGAACGGCAAAGTGACCCCGGTTAGTCTCGTTAAGGGAAAAGTTTTTCTTTCCCGGATTGGGAAAGGATATAGGGTACTTTGATTTCAAGCGCTATAAACCCATTGGCCAGTTGAGCTTGGTCTAGACAACGAAGTTGTTTCATCAGAGTTTTGTTCTGAATTATGGATTGGGTAGGTTTGCAATGAAATGTGTGTTCTGATGACCTGTAGGTACATCCAGAAATTGTATATTCCTCTTGTTGTCCTTTTCCACGGTAACTTCAATGCCTACCGGCCTCAATTTCATTCTCTCTAAACCGAAGGAATGTTTCATTAGAACAGGAATTGGCATCAGGAGTGCAAACAGAACAAGACAGCTGAAAACAAAATATGACCTCATAATGGAGATATAAACCACAGGCAATCCACTTAAGCAACAGTGGCACATCGTTAGCGTCGGGGTCTGGAAAAACCAAATTCAGCCTGCGTTAAGAGAGGTATATTGGCTGCTGCATCCCAAGCCCCCAGGTATTCAATTTCCATGACACGTCGCAGCAGTAACATATCAGTTGTCGACGGATTTCTGATTAGTCACCAGTTACCAGAAGAAGAAACTTCCACCAGACGTGACGAGGTAGCGGACAGAAACTCCGTTATGGACAGCTCTGATAGGGAGATTAGCTCCCCTAGCAAGTTGTAAGGTTCCTTTGTGTGGTACGGTCGTTAACAGCATCCGAGGATGACACTATATTCCTGACGAGGCGAGAAATCATCGTAGCGTAGAAGGAGGATCAGGTCTTGAAAACTGTACGATAATGGATTGCCAAAGAAGTAAGGCCGGAATGGCAAGAGTTCTCCAAGTACGGCCAGCAGGAAAAGGGTTACTGGCTCCAATGGGACACGATGAGCATTCCAGATGTCCTACTCACTCGGAAATGGGAAAGCCCGGATGGAAAAACCCACAACGTCCAGATAATCCTTCCAAAGACGTGTGTCCCGAGTATACTTGAACAGCTTTACGATGGTGGCACTGAAGGGAATTTTGGAGTAAATAAAACTGTAGCGAGAGTGCGTGAGAGGTACTATTGGGTCAATTGCCGTGAAAGAGAGGTGTAAACGCTGTGTCCTGTGATCTTCGAGAAAGGGTCCGAAGACAAGGCAAAGGGAAAAGTTAAAGCAGTTACTCAGTATGAGCCCCTTCGAGAGAATCGCAGTTGACATTCTGGGACTACTCAATATGACCACACCCAGTAACAAGTACCTTATGGTTGTAATGGACTACTTTTCAAATAACTTGAAGTAGTAACCTTACCCAAACGAGAGGCTAAAACGATGGCAAAAACCCTGTTGCAGAACGTAACTGCCAGAAACGGAGTACCCCAGGAATTACACTCGGATAAGGGCCTCAACTTTGAATCGGAATTATGGAAGGAAATGATGACTCTGTTGGAAATAAAGAAGGCAAGAACAACTGCTCTCCACCCACAGTCCGATGGAATGGTCAAGAGGCATAATCAATAACTACATTTCGATGTTTGTCTCCGAAAACCAAAGATACAGGTATACATTGGTTTCTCTTTTTCTGTTGGCATACAGAAGCTCCCAACATAACGCGACAGATTACACACCATCGATGTTGTTAACCGATCGGGAACTGAAGCTTGCGATAGATGTACTGTGTGGTAGTCCTTCCGATGAATCTCAGAGTATGTGAATGACCTGAAGGAGAGATAGAAAATTGTACACATTTCGTATCTTATCTACCGACTTTGATGGAATTCCGGCGAATTTTCTACCGCCTTCGATTACGATATATAAACGCTAGCCACGAGCAAATCGAGAAAGTAATATGGAAGTTACAGTATGGTACGTGAAGCGATCTAGTAAGGCGATACTCATTCGAATAATAGTTGAAGTGTTTGTTGCATTTAAAGTTAAGTTTGATTATTGTTCAGTGTAGTCATTTATTGGTAAACCCACGGGGAAATACGTAACAATATTATATTGTTAAACAATGAGTCTGAACCTCTAAGTCGCCAGCTCTTGACGAATTTTAAATTCCTCATGAAATTGTAAAAAACATCAGCCACTAATCCATCGTTTTCAATTTGTTTCAGCTATCTGGATGATGCCAACTTACAACCAATATTCCTCATGGCCATCTTCGGGAGAAATAGATATAATGGAGTCTCGAGGAAACAAACATTTAGTTAATCCCTACGGCACCAACATTGGAGTTGAACAAATCGGAAGCACCCTCCACTTTGGCCCCAACCCAAACTACAACAAATATTCATTGACTCATTACGAAAAAAATAATGCAACAGGCTATGACTCAGATTTTCATAACTATCAGTTGGAGTGGACAGAGAATGCGTTGACTTTCTTCGTAGATGACGAGGTGGTAGGTACCGTTACGCCACCCAGTGGAGGATTTTGGGAGCTCGGAAGGCTGGCTGATACTGGTCTGGATAATCCATGGAAGAGAAATTCAAAAATGGCTCCATTCGATCAGGAATTTCATATCATACTGAACCTTGCTGTTGGGGGTGTGGCATTCTTCCCAGATGATGGTAATAATCCTGGAGGAAAACCGTGGAAGAATGATTCTCCTAAAGCGGCAACTGACTTCTGGGAAGGTAGAGAACAGTGGCTGCCTANTATTGAAAAGTTTGATTATGCCTTCTCTCAAATTTTCTCCATCAGTTTCCTGGTAATTGAAGATTCGTAGGCTGTTTTTCTTCATGCTTTGTTCCATATTGTCAAGTTTTTTATGTATCACTGAATTTTCATTAATTATTTTTCTTGTAGTACCTTCAAGATTTTTTATTTGGTTTTCAAAGTGTTGTTTTACCTCTTTCATTTCGGTTTTTAGTTCGCTGACTTTTTCTTCTAACATTGAGAGTTTTTTATCAATGGATAACGTGACCGCCTGGGCTACACTATCAGTAATTGTTTTTATAAATGTCTGGTCTCTCAGGAACTTCGACATGGCATTATTTACTGCTGATTTTATTTCATCAACAACATCTCGCGTTAGAACCATTTTCTTAGATTGCACTTTTCACCAAGGTGTGATACTACTTCCTTTCTACAAGTACACAACTTTTCAGATTTTTTTATCTTGATTTACACACAATTTGTAATGATATTGTAGGAGCAATCGAACACACGACTATTCACAACATACCATGTTGCCACATGGCATATGCTGCGATTTGTTTACGCATATTGGACCAATAAAAATGCCTGCTGACTTGATTCTGAGTCTCCTCGATTCCCGGATGTCCGGCGCCATTATGGTATCGTTTGATCAACGTGTCCCAACAGCGCCTCGGGACTAGCAACCTTTTCACGTCTTGGTTTGGTCCGATGTAATAAAGTAGATTATCCTCCATAACAAAATCATGCAAAATACGTTGTTCGTATTCAGACGGTTCCGGGTTAGTCCGGGCCCTCTCAATCCGGATCCGGAACCGCCTAACGCTGTCACTGGCTTTTTGCAACTCAGCGATCTCTTCAAACCAAGTTCGCAACTGGTTCAATGTCTCGAAATCGCCGGTTGTCACACAGACCATGTCGCAGACGTTGAGCATTTCGCTCAATTCGTCCATCAACTGGCACAGCATCTCGTCTTCATTTTCTTCGTCGCCGTCGGACTTTTTATGAGGGAAAAACATCCTCTCTACGTCCTTGTCTATGTCGACATTAGTTTCATTTCCCGTGGGGTTTCGTGAAAGAAAATCCGGGAGTTGATTTCTCTTCCCCGGAATATGTTCTATCGTGAAATCGTACTCCTGCAGGAGTAGAGACCAACGAGTTAATTTAGCTTTCTCATCCTTCATGCGATCCAGCCACGTTAGGGCCGAGTTGTCCGTAAACAGCGTGAAGTGACCGTCTTGAAGGTAGTGTCTATATTTTTAATCCCCCATACGACGGCGAGGCATTCAATTTCATTTATATGATATTTGCGCTCAGTTGCGTTTAATTTTGCGCTGCCGTATGCAATTATCTTTCGTTCCTTGGTTTGCGGTTCCAGTTGAAATAACACCGCACCGATGCCGATGTGGCTGGCGTCTGTTTGCAAGCCGTAAGGGAGATCAGGGTCAGGTCGTGCGAGTTCCAAGGGTTGTGACACTGCATTCTTAATAGCCTGGAAGCTCCTTTGAGCTTCCTGACTCCATTGGAACTTCTTTTTGTCTATAAGGTCTATGAGGGGTGCGGCCACTTCGGCAAACTTCGGGATATATTCCCGAAGCCATCCGGCAGTGCCTAGGAAAGCTCGCACTTGTTTGATATTCGATGGGGTAGGAAATTCTTGAACATTCAAAACATGCTGTTCTTGGGGCTTGTTACCGTCTTTGGAGACGACTCTACCTACCTAAGTAGTTTAGGGTGGTAGATCCGAATTTGCATTTTGATGGCGAAAGCCACAGCCCATGTAGTCGAAGCCGCTCCAGGATTAACTGTAAATGGTTGCAGTGTTCATCCAAGATGTGCGAGTAAACGATTATATCGTCGATGTAGACTTTGCAGAATTTATCTACAAAGCCTACCAGAACCTCTGACATAAGCTTTTGGAACACTGCAGGTCCATTTTTTAATCCAAAACTCAGAACTTTAAATTCATATACTGCTCCGTCTGAACCTCCAAAAGCCGTATACTTTCGGGACTCCTTGTCCAGGGGAGCTTGCCAAAATCCATTTCGGAGATCTAACGTGGTGAATAGGGATGCTTTGCCCATTTCACGCACAGTCTCCTGTATTGGTGGTGAGTATGGGGCCTTAGTAATAATCAATTTATTGATTTGCCGGTAGTCGACACAAAACCGCAACTTTCCTTCCTTCTTGGGAACAAGAACTACCGGTGAGCATTACGGCGAGGTACTTCTGGCAATTACTCCTGCTTCTAGTAATTTAGAAATTTCTTCGTGGACAATTGCCTTCCGTGCCTCTGACATTTTGCCGTATCTGGACTGCCTAAATGGTCGTTCTTCGCGAACGCGGATTTTGTGGACTACCGCCTTAGTTTGAGGTTGGCGAATCGTTTCCTCGAACACGTCGGGAAACTGATTTATCACTGCCAATATCTTATCTTTTGTTTCTCCGGAAAATTGGGAATCCTCCAGTTGTACAGGACTAATAGTCCTCAGGGATCTCTGTTTTGCATTATCGGCCTCGAAGTATAGGCATAAGCGCGGAGCTTGGCCAAAATAAATCGACCCTCGGCCTACGTCGATCGTGGCCTGGGTTTTTCGGAGGAAAGGAAGGCCAAAGATGACCTTCTCCTGTAGTTTGGATAACACGGTGAATTTTATTTCGAACCTTCTTTCTTCAATCTCCACCGGTAGCGTAATCTGGCCCAGACTTTGACTTACATTGCTCTCGCACCCCATAAATACCGTGGCCGGGTTCGGGAGCCTGGTCAGGTCCATATTGGCTAGAACGCCGGATTGGATGAAGTTACTGGAGGCTCCGGTGTCCACTAAAGCTGAGAGGTTCAAGGAATTTATTACACAGGGGATTCTCGGAAGGCTTCTTCCGAGAAGGGGGCGTTCTTCAGCGAGAGACATATAGCACTCGAGATCTGAAGGGATTACTTTCGTACAAGGGCTTATATTATTGCAGTGGTTTAAATTCATTGGGGCCTTTAGCTCTCCACTGCTGTCCACTCCGGCCCCATCTAGTTTTCCGCCTCTCCGTTTTGGGGAGTGGGAGCTGTTTCTACCACATTATTGTGGCTCCCACGAGAAGCGTTGGGGCTCGGCCTAGACGAGGGTGGTCCTTGTTGCTGGGTTGCTCGATGTGGTGGTCGATACACTTCTGTTGAATTGCTCGCCCTATTGTTACTCCAATTCCCTTGACTACGCGGAGCATTGTTAGCCTGGGAATTGGTTAAGTTCGGGCTGATTTGAGTATTGAAGCTTCTAGGGGCTGACTTAGACAGCCGTAAGTCTTCTTCGATACCAGCCGCGTCCTGTATAAGTATTTCTATATCCGAGTAACTCTTCCCCCTAAAGAAACATCTCAGTTCAGGCAACAGCAGCTGGGTTATAATGGGCAGAACTTCTCGTTCTCGCATATACGGAAACAATCTCTTTGCGAGTCCCAGCTTCCTTATGATGAATACGTCGGCCTTCGTATTACGATCCTGGCTCTCACCATAAAACTTAGAAGTGAGCTTTGCCATCAATTCTGGGCTGGCATACTTTTGAGTTAGGCGTGACACCATCATTGGCCACGATATCTGAGTTTGTGCGTAGATCGAGGCCCATTTCGTGGCCTCCCCTGTTAACTGGGCGAACAGGATATGGATCCAATCTTCTTCCGGTACTCCACTCCTTTCTAGTTCTACAGTTAACTTTGATATGAAGACCTTAGGGTCCTCATTTTCACTTCCTGAAAAAGTGGGTAGCCGAAATCGTTCAAACCGGCTATTGTTTGGCCTCTGGGTCGTCCTGTGATACAGGATTCTCCCTTTTTACTGGTTCTTTCGTGGCCTCCACTTGGGGCTGGAAAGAAACCTGTTTCTGTGGGCGCCACTGGCTTGTTTTTATTTGGCCCGAAGCCAGAGAGGGCCATTCTTGGAAAGGACCAACTTGTCCTGTGGTTATCCTTGGGAGAGTCAAGGTGGTTGGAAGGGATGAAGGAGATTCTTCTTCATTTATCACGTGGAAGGATCCCCCTTCTGCATCCCTGAAGGTGCTACTAGGGCTTTCGAAACCCAGTGCATCAGATCCTTCATCAAAACTTGACATGAGCACACTGAAAGGGTTAGTTTGCCTTTCCTCTATCCCAAATCTAGCTTCTTCGTCAAAAGAAGCAGCTTCTGGCGTTGATGCCTCCTTCGGGAGACTCATTTGGGCCCCACGTTGGGCGCCATGTCGCCGAGACGGTTCCCGGAGCGGTCCCGAAAGGGTACCCGGCTGGGCGTGAGTTTGCAAGAGACCTCTTGCTCCTAGGTCGCTCGTCGCAGGCAGACCAGAGCCGGCGGGTGCTAGGCCACCGGAGGATCTATTTCTGTATGTGTTGTCGTCCTCGAAGTTTAACTCCCAGTCCTGAACGCCTCGCGTCCCCTGCATGGTCGTAGATTTCCGGGGCAAGACCTTCTTTTCTTTACACGACAAAGTCTCGAATTTATCATTAGTATACCCTATAATTTCTAGCTGTCTAACAGGCGCCGCGGGGGTACAGCTGGCCACCACGATGGCACTAGGCCGGACCAGAGGGTTCCCTACGATCCCTAACCACCTAGCCGACACACTATCGCGATTTGACCTACCTAACTCCCTAAGCCCGAAGGAAAGAGACCGCCTCCGGAGGCGCACGGTCGCTTTAAAGCCCCCAGATATCAGTGCAATGGGACAGCCCACGTAGACTGTCCCTTAGATATACTGGGTAGGCGTACCTCCCGATGTATTCAAGCCTGGGTAGGCCAAATACGTCCAAGGAGGCCGGCTAGTGGGTCCCTCGGTGCGGCGTGGTGCCGAAGACGAAGAAATACGAATTCCTTGTGTAAGCCCTGAGAAGGGCAGTATTAGAACTGAAGTTCCGTTTGCAGTGATTGGCCTTAAGAAAGACCTTTTTTTTGATATATCCTGGATTCCTGATTCCTGGGTCGTCGTTATAGCTCGGCCTTGATAAAGGCCAGAAAAGTTTGTTCCACAGTGTGGTCGTAACGAATTCAGATTGGGAAGTAAATTTGGTTTTTACTTCCCAAATTTCTGCCAGTAGAAACTGTAGCCGAAGACTCCTTGTACAACTTTTCAAATTCGAATTTAGACAAAACCAATGTCCAGTCTTTCAGATTTCCATTAACAATTATATTGTCTAATTATTACTTGTTTGTCATTTTGAATCATATTGTATTTAGGGTTGCATCCTTGCATAATATGTTTTACTTTTTGATGCTATTTCATTTCATTTATATTTGGTAAAATTTATTAATCGGTTATATTTCATTGTCCTAACTATTTTTTTTATTACATTCAAGTTCAATGAGATTCAAAACACTTTAGTTATTGTCCAAGGATTTAGACAATGCTTTAGTAATTTTATAGTAGGTACCTACTGACATCTATATGTTAGCGACCTAACTGTATTCATTCGCCATCTGCAAGAGATTTCTACATTCCTCTACTAGCGCCGCCTGTCTAACGATAACACAACCATTCGTAATTTTGATTTTATTGAGTGTCAGCTCACGTGCTTTCTGATGAGCTCAGCTGAGCTATTGTCTAAAAGACAATGGCTGAGCTGTATTGAATTCGTTTCCTAATAACTCACAATAATTGAACAAATTCAGTTGCATTTTTCCAGAGTAGAAATCAATCGATAATTTTGATTATTTCAAAATAAATTACTCAATTAATATCAAAGAATGCAGAAGTGTCATTCACGTCATTCAAACAACGGTTTTTCAAGTTCATATAAAATAATAATGCCTGAACATTTTCTTTATTTAAAATCTGTGATGATCTATGAATACATTATCGAAATCATCGTTTTCTGATCGCCTTCTTTGTCTGCAGGATACACGGAGTGAAAAACTTGTACTTGTGAATGAAAACATATTCAGGGTTCTCGAATGAAAAGTTAATTGAAGTAGACGACAGATCAACTGAAAAGGTTTGATTTTTTGAGAGAAATTGTTTTTTGAAACAGAAAACCTCCTAGTTTTTCTGCTCCTTCATCTTTGTACAAGCAATTAATATCGAAATAAACTTTATACAATGCTGTATAGATCATACATCAATGTTCGTGCAACGTACCGTGCGCTTCGATCATTTTACGGTCGTCATAATCGTCCTACCAACTATTCTCAATGTGGTGAATAAATTTGAGTCCACTGCTTCAGTAAAAAATCGACAAATATCCGTACGTTGACGAAATGCAAGATCTGCAGATAAAATCGCCGCTGTCTGTGAGAGTGTGCAGGAGAATCCGTGGCAGTTGATTTCGCGTCGCTCACAGGAACTCAGGTTTCCGCAGACCAAAATTTGCTGAATTTTGCGTCGTAACTTGGGTCTGCACCCGTACAAAATTCGACTGACCCAGGAACTGAGGTAACCGACCATAGATAACGATTGTGTTCACTGAATGGGTTCTGGAGCAGTTGAAAGCTGACTCTAATTTCCATCGAAAAATCATCTTCAGCGATGAGGCCCATTTCTGAATGAATGGATACGTGAACAAACAAAATTGTCGAATTTGGAACAGTAACAATCCGCATGTGATCTAAGAGCGTTCAATGCATTTCGGAAAAGTCACTGTTTGGTGTAGATTTTGGGCTGGCGCCTGCCAACGTCGTCCTCACGTTGGCAGGCCATCACTGTCAACGGCGAGCACTATTGGTCGATGATTATCAATTCCTTTTGGTATAAATTGGGTGATCTCGATACCACCGACATGTGGATTCAACAGGATATTCTGTACGAGCGAATTGATAACATGGCCATCTCACGTGGATGAGATGTAAACTGACCACCAACATCGTGCGATTTGACTCCGTTAGATTTTTTCTTATCACACATAATGGCATCAATAGGTTTTTCAAACGAATAAAAAATTTTGATGATATCAAACACACTTTGTTTTATTTTAATTTAAAGATAGAAAGCGCTCAACGAAATTCCCTGTAGTAAAAAACCTATGAATTTTGTTTTCTGATAATCTGAACTGAATTTGTTTTAGTCAATTTGTTGTAGACCATGGTGATTCATCTCTATAGTATCACCCCAGTTACTACTTCATCTATATATTAAAGCTCATTCAGATGAAAGCGAAGGAAATACATCAAAAATTTAATATTCAAGCAAACTGCATAAAATAGTTGATGAGTATGTTCTTCAGGTTGAGCAGTTTTGAATGTATTCATTAACGAAGTAGATACAATAACTCAGCAGGTTATCACAAGCATCATTTATAACGAATAATGTAATGAAGATTTCAATGATGACATTTTTTGGAATTCACTGACTTGAAAACCATTTGTACGAATGAATAATCACTACTTGTCGTTAGTCCCAATTGATGAAGTATGAAAATCGAGTATTTATTTGTCGAGTCCAAAATAGAATGTCATCAATGAGAACTCTAGGTACTTTCACAATTTCCTGTTTGGATGTACAGCATTTTATAGAAAAACGAAGTGATTGCAGTCTACTGCTACCTAATTTGAGTTTTTTCATCACAAAATCATTATTCAAATATCTCACAGACCATCACCACCAATTGCGATCTTTACAACCGATTTTTTAAATAGTTTCAGATGATTTCATTACTATTTCTCGAATACCACAGATTTGGTATTTTCTCAACAAGGCATCATATTACCCAGTTACAGATGTTTTTGTTAGGACTAAGAAAGTTACTGAATAGATTGATGAACTATCGAGTCAGAAAATTGTTTGATTGTAAAAATTTAGTTTAGCATCTTCGGCATTTCAGTTTCATGAAAAAGTACTTTGTTTCAAAAGAAAATTGCTTTCATGTGGCTTGTGGCAGTAAAATAAAACAACAAAGTAAAATTGAGAGAGCTTTACTTATGTAACATAGCTGACATGACACATAGTACCTATACATACACGGGGCTGAGTATTACACCAATATTATGAGCTATATACAGATGTTCAGTTAGTAGGGGTGGTGTCTTCCTAAGTAAGGCGTGACGAAGGGTCGTGGGAAGGCCAAAAAGTGAAATCCAAATCGAAAAGTACACTCCCAGGAACTGCGGGGACAGGCTGTACCTCAGCCCGGAAATTCAGTCAAGCGATGCAAACATAACACACCCGCGCCAGCGCGGAGTGACACATGAGGGCAGGACGCCAGCGCCTACTGCCGAACGCGCCACCATAGCTGAACCTTCTCGGTCAGCTTCCTACAGAGGCCGGCCAGCCTCCGTCACATCGGAGCTTCCGCCTCGCACTCAGCTTCGCCTTCCTCCAGAGTGACTTGAAAGCGAATTCCGGGACGTTGAGGGTCGGGAACATCATCTGGGGGCGGGCTAGGGGGGATAGCGCTTTGGTACCAGTCGCGGTTCTCCTCGAGAGTGTCTAATATATCTTGGGCATCGGGGTGTACTAGATCGGCCCATGTTTCCCATAGGGGATGGACGATGTAATCGATGAATCCCACTTGGGTCTTCTCTATGGTAGCTGAGTGGCGGTCGCACATGGGACTTATGTCCATTTTGGCCTCTCTCTCTTTGTCACCTTGCTGGAAGAACTCCTCCATCAGAAGGTCCACCCACCGCTTGTACAGTGCCAGCGGCTTGGTGGGATTGCTCAGATCTGCGCAGTGCACGAGATTCTCTAATACTTGGATTCGATCAGTGTAGTTGTCTAGCAACAGAACTCCTGAACCAGCGACCTTCTTGGTTTCCACCATGGTCTTCAGATCTGCGAGTAGACTCATATGCTTCGACATGTCAGTACTCAGAACCATGTCTATCACCATCTTCCTCAATGTTTGTCTTTGCTTCTTGGTCAGGTTGCAGAAGATATCGCAGCCATCGTTGGATAGAAGTTTGAACGCCACTGCCAAGTGATGATTCTCCAGGACGCTCTCGTCGTTATACATGATTGCTAACTCCGAACTGGAGTTGATGAGGAACTGGTTGGTGAGCCCTGGATGATCGACGTCGTGCACACAGGCTGCAAACAACGCCGCGGTCACTTCTAGGGGGGTGAAGACGTTCTCCAAAGCGGGAGTGTTGAGTAGCACGTGCGTGCTCTGGGTTACATCGGCGGCGTGAAGGGAGTTATGAAAAGGATTCTCCTTGACGTAGTGATCCTCCAAAGTCATCATGAAGGTAATGAATACTTTGGGTGGTATGCCCATCGCCTTGAGGAGGTCCCTATTGCAGAAGGTAGTGTAAGCTACGCAGGTTAGCGGTCTGCCGTTGCTCAATTCACCGATTTTGAATATATCGATACCCCAGTGGTCTATAACCAGTAAACTGCTCTTCAACTCGTTCTCGAAGGGAGTCTCCACGCCGTACTTCGGAAGTTTCTCCCCGGTAAAGGAGTTGGTGTGGCACAAGGATCTTCGGTTCACGCCTGATATTTGCGACATGGTAGAGTGGGAACCTTTTGGCCGTTCTTTGGGCTGGGTTCCCTTTTGGGGCTCTGCGATTTCATCGCGGATGGAGGGGATGTCCAGTTCCTGTTGTTTATCTGAAAAGAAAGAAGACTATTAGCAAAACAGTTCACAATCCCTTGAAGTTTTTTCGATATTCAACAAACAAAAAACCATTCAGTTTGTATCAACAATGAGAAAAACAATAAGAAAAGTATTAACCTGCGAAAAAAATAAGGCTGTAGACTGGCATTGAAGAAAATGAGGAAGCTGACGTACACAAAAACTGAGGAGCCCATTCACCTATCTTCTGAACGAAACCTTTTTGCAGATTCTTGAATGAGGAAGGAAGAAATCCGACTATAGAAACTTGATCAATTGAGATATCTTCGGAGAAATGTTCCAGGAAAAAGGTGAGTGTTAATATTGATTAGCCCATCCTTTAAGATGGCTACTGAAAAGCTTTTAGATTTGGAAAAAAACTGATATTGATTAGGGGTCTCTCACAGCTGACGGAACACTATCCGGTGAGAGTTGCCGCTGCTGCGGTTGAACCATAGAAACTTCAAAACACTTGCTTTGCAAATGTTCTATTCGGTGAAAGTTCTTTGAAGGAATTCCACAAATCATCTGTGTCGCCAGAAAACTTCCCTCCAGGAAACTAATTTATTTCAACAGACTAAGCCGGGAAAGTGGTAGGGTATGTCTCCAACAGGTTAGGATTGTAAACACATAAAAGACAGTATTGAAAGCCTGGGGACCTGATATATAATTTATTTCAACATTGATCAGTTTTAGCTTCTGTTGTTTCTGAACAAAGCTGGAGAAATTGGTAACACGATTTCTATTGATGCAATAATTAACATGTTCACCAAAATAATAGGAAATGAACAATTCTGTTCGAACTGAGGTAGAAAACAGAACAACCGAGTGAACAAATGAAGTATAAGCGTGAAGTCACTGGATGTTTTGAATATCAATCTTACTCTTCCAGAATTGTGAAAAACACCAGAAAAATTTATACTTAACACTAATTATAAAACACCACCCTGCAGATGAAAAGCTCGAAGGAGAAGAAACGAATACACATGTTCAACAATACAATACGCTGCATTAAGAATTATAAGTTAACCGATGATGATGTTTCGACCTTTTACTTAGCTATAATCAGGGTAGTAAAAGTTTGTGTGATGTGTGAGTACATGCACAATGGTACGCTAGAAAATATTTAAAATAGCACAATAATGATGTGAAACAGTCAAATCATTGTAATATTACAAAAGAAAGTTGACAATGAATGAGTTTTGAAAGCAAAATTGAAAAAACTATCAAAATTACAAGATGGAAATGTTTATAATTTTTGCTGATTGGAAACATATCTTTGCGAACGACTTGTAGTACAAAAATTAACTTCCAAGCCACATTACTCGGTGAAAGTTAAAAAAAATTGTGATTTGTAACCAGAACCATGTTTAACAAATGAACTGTGATTGGTTTTTAAGCTGAGCATTCATACTGATATTTTACTCACCGAGAAAAGTAGAACAAATATATTCCGATATTTGGTTTCCAGATTTGCTTGATTCCGAAAAGTGAGATAGTTCCTTGTTCAGCATACGTTTGAACTGTAACAAAGAGAAAAGAAGAATTATTGAAAGTGCAATATAAAAATTATAGTATAAATGAGACCTTGTGACGGGTTTTGTCAATTGTGTACACCTCTTCACTTCAATAGGTCATACCTGCTATATTCATTTATATTTGAAAATATCTATTCGACGTCTCCGTTAGGAGACGTTTAAATAATGATACTAGATTGCTGTGGATGGCAATCAACTTGTTCCGTATTAAATCAGTTGTTAATCCGTAGCTTCTTCGGTAAATTATTTCGGAAAATATATATTTATTTGGAATGAAGGCTTCAGTTAGAATTGCGGTTTTGTCCAGTGGAGGAAATCAATTAATTTTCAATTCAGAAACATTCCCATGAATAACTGTATTAGGCGATTCTCTTTTGATACCATCCGTCAGTCTTTTTTGGTCGAAGAAAATTCCACAAATATTTCCTGGTATTAATGCTAACATCGAAAATAAACCATTGGAATGTAGACGAAAATACAGGAATTTTGTTCTACCTCTTCAGGCCAGCTTAGATTTACTGAATTGAAAAGTTCTCTCTCGCCACGAATTATGCAGGTGAAAACTGTCTATAGTGTATCAACAAAGTTGAATGTTCTTTGTTTAAACTTTTGATATTCATGAAGATATGTCTGAACTTTAAGATAATTGCTCTCTCAAATATTAAATCAAAACTGATTAATATCATTTGAAACTGAACATATAACAGACCCACATGAAAAAAATCATTATATAACGTAATTCGCTACAATATTGAAAAACAAAGCAACTTGACTCGTCATGTAAATTTTCCTGAAAATGCCTCAATTTCAAATATTTTCTGTTGCATTGAGTCATAGATTTTGCTTGCATCTTAATCAAGATAAATGGTGCAATAGGAAAAGATAATCTAAAAACAGTTACTTGAGTTTTTAGTCTATCTGTAATTAATTATTCACGTTACGTTTATTGATACTCGTAATGAGCCTAGAATGAAGTCATTAGATGAATATATATCAGGCAAGAAACATTAATGAGTTCGCACTGACGTAGGTTGAATATTGGTCTTTAATTATTTTGCAATTATTATTTAAATTATATCGGGTTGCAAAAAAATATTGATTATATTGACAAGCCAATATATCATGACTGACGGAATACGTTTAGAATATTTAGAAGTAATGGTACACTGCAAGATATGATATTCTAAAAACTAAGGGGACGAACGAATAATACAAATGTCCATAATCAGAACAGCTCCATAATTTATTTTTTTTTTGGGAAAAATATGTTTTCCAAAACTGTAATTTGGCATCTCTGATAAGAGATTTTGAAGAGTTTACTATGAGATAACCATGTTATTCATATACTATTTAAGAGGTTATTTTTCAGTTCGTACATTTTATCAATGTTTACTTCCCAGATGTATTCTAAATCAACTTGATATCAGAATGATTTGAAAATATCGACCTTGTGAGCTCACATTTCATTTGCATATTTTGAGACACACTTATATTCGAATCTACATTAAATAAACTGAAAACAATATCAAACATCCCTTATAATTTGTTCTATGCTTTCATAATGCATTGAACTGAAAGCATTTATTGTATGTTTGTTATACCGGCTCTGTTTAATAAATATCAATGTTTCAATACCCATCTGAGCGAATTTAATATTCGCCATACATACACATGAATTCAATTCTGTTTCACTTAATCCAATCAAACCTTGATATGGATTCAAATAATTCATTTCAAATTGAAAGCGCTTCGACGAATATACAAAATATCAGAAATTATAAGTGCAATCAATCGTTGATTCATGAAAAATCTATTTTTTTTATGAATTAATTTCAGATTCAAAATATTTTGCCGATTTGAAGTTTTATGATAATAGAATTTCGAAATAATTTTTTAAATAAATTAATGATCTGAAGTAGGTACTCTTACGGGATCCGTCAAAACTCTAATATTTGTCCTCTCTGTCGGGCAAAAGTACCTAGTAAATTTTCTTTTGAGACTCAGTTTTCAATAAAAATATGTTCCAGTTTTCCATAATTCTAGATCTATTTCATGAAGTCAAGTTTACAAACAATTCATCTCAATATATGTAAATGATTACTTTGGGTTTTAATAAGAACTTCAATTGTAAAAATGAATTCAGAGCGAATTGAAAATATTTCATACTTAGTTATAGGTAATTTCAATTAAATTATGATGGATGATGAATAAATAATCCACCTCAAAAAAGAATGAAAAATATTGAACTCACGATGAGATATTTTAGATTCTTTCAATTATATAAGGATCAAACAGATCATGTATATTTCCTGTTGATTTTAAGGAATTCAAATTTACATTGTCAAAAAACGAATAAAGCTTAAAATCTGTTAATACCTATATATCATTAGAATTTGATATCTACTTCGCATTCCAGATTTAAATTATGCAATATACCTATGTGTCAATTTAATGTTTTTTATATATATGTAAACAAAATTCTAGGAAGCGGTGACTAATTGAAAATTTAAATACGAGTACCTCTGTGTATAATATGGGGCTTATCGTTAATTATCAAAACGAATTTCTATGACGAATTATCAACACCTCATGTTCCTAATCTTATTAATCCATTGCGATCATGACACATAAAAGAAATTAGAATATTTTTTTCAACGGAAAATAAAAAAAAAATTTTATGGAAAAGCCAAAAATGACAATCAAAAATCGAAATAGAAAGTATAGGATTTGAAATATTCTTTAAGTTCCTTATTACTCCGGGGTTCTTCTTTGTCAACTACAAATATAGAGAGTGTTTTGTTTCTATCCATCATTTATTAAAGTTCATGCGAATTGTATCCTTCTGAGTTTCGGGAGATTAAGAATATTAAATAATAAGAAGGAAATGCAGAATGTAAATAAGTATAATTCAATGTATTTTTTATCTTCAACTTCTCTCCAAAATAAACCTGAGTTCTAGTAGTAGAAGTTTCTGTTTGTGAATATGAAATTTTTCAATATGTCCACAACATTTCAGAATAAATTTTCTCAAATAGTTTCCAAATGTAAAAATACCTAAAATATTTGTAGGTTACTCTGTTCCAAATAATATATCAATTGGTTCCAATACACTAGTGTAAGATTTAATTTTGGCAATGAACACTTGATTGTTGATGAAAACATTTGAAAACATAACAACTGAAAGATTTTTCCGCAAAGCATTAGATTCGAAAAAATTACCTTCAGCTCTGCAATAGCTGCAGTAACAGCAATATCAGCCATTATATTAACCCAAGGCACACAATCAAAAAGTTTATCAGAATCGGGAGGAATCCTTCCGATCTCAGGTTGGTGAGAATATGCCCTTTTCAGAACCCTCTGGGCACTCGGACTGTCATCCGAAGTAAGCATATTGTTAAATCAAAAACAGCTCAAAACACTTGGTCACTGACGACAACTGATTAAGAAAAAAATGTCCAATAAGAATTACGATCAAGTTGGCAAGGCACTCGTGACAACTGAGTGCTTATCACAAACTGTACTAAGTAACACTTCTAGCGCAACTGTTCCACACGATAAGAGATGTTGTCTTAAATACGCTGCCTAGCGCGTTTCCGCTTATCCAGTGTTGCCGCTATTCTGATAATTATTCGAATAGCGGATTTTTTATAATCTCCACGAATTATTGGAGCAATACTATCATCGTGATTTTCAAAATTGAAATGTTATTTCATAATCAATTCATTTCGAACATTCGATAATCAAGGAATCATTTTTGGAAATACCACATCCGTCCAGTTGGAAAATATTTGTGGCAGTTAGCCTTCACATTTTTGTAACATGCGAATCAATTATTGGAATGAATTGATATACCTATCAAAGTGAAGGCAGCCAAACAAATAATATGAAGAGATATACTTCTAGTTTGGAAAGCAATATCCAAGAAGATAAAACAAGTAGGAAATAGTGAAAAAGAAAGAACCAAAACCTGGTTTTCGTAACTACACACATACTCGACGCATGTTTCGCCAACAGAGTCGACATATTCAGGTAATAAATTTAAATTTTCATCAAATTTTCTCCTGAAGATACTAACCTTACTGGAGGAACGTGCATTGGGTGGAAGTATTTCTGGTAGAACTAAGGTAAATGAGCTCTGTAATGATCAATCATTCTTATCATACTCTTAGATTTCATAATCATTTATATTGATTTAAAAGAGAATATTTCTGAGTAGCTTTGAAAAAAGAAACGTTTTTGTCTTGCTTCTTTTTCATCATTACATCAAGGGAGAACATCCAAACTCTTTACAAGGATTTAGTATCTTCTACGAAAGTTATCCAAAAAGGTACTGATGAGTAGATTCTTCATCTATAATGTTTCCACACCCGAAACGTCTTGAAGTCTACATAGGGATTGGCAGTTTTTCTTGTGAGTTAAAATACTCTTGAACACATGATGTTGTATATGGATGAGTGATTTTATTGTAATTCAATGTTTATATTTGAAAGCATCCCATTCATTCATCGCATCTGTTCAAGACTGATTCAATTTTGAATGCAAGGGAATATTTCAAACGTATGAATGTTTTCATCAACTGTTATCGTGACAAGAGCAGTACATTCACTCTAGTAATTTTACGAAAAAAATGAGTGATTTTTCTTGTGAAGTTATCCAAAATAGCGGTATTTAAAGTTCACAAGGAATTTGATTGTTTTCTGTGTCAATTTTTGAATCAATACTCCTCATATATATGATACATAGAACTGGAACCTTTGATGTAGAATGAATCCAAAACTAGTACTTTTCCAGAACACCAGAACTGCAAAACTCTTCTCGACGCGCGTTTCACCAATGAAATTGGTGTCTTCACGAGATGAAGTACACTACAGTGTAGAGACAGTATCTTCAGGAGATGAATTAGTGTACTTTATCTCTCAAAGAAGAGAACTCGGTCGGAGAAACGTGAGTCGAGAAGAGTGTTGTAACAAACAAGTTGGTTGGTGGAACACTTCTTGTGTTTGGGAACAGTACTTGTTTTGGACTCGTCATATAGGTATTACATTGTGTATCTTTTCTGTGGATGATGTTTTTACAATTCCATTGCGGATATTTGGGATAATAACTGAATAGGAAATAGTGATTTTTGTGTGTTTTATATGAAATAAATTTTTGCCGGATCACAATTTCAACACAAAAAACAGTAATTTCATTCAAGTTATGGAAGAAGCCAATGAGAAATATCCTCAGAGTTCTATGTACAACTTTGTACAAAATAGGCCTCAGTTTCAGCAATAACCGCTTCATTTGAGCGAAATTTCTCACAGTAGAAGTAGAATATTATGAAATTCGATGTTAACCATCTTGATTTTATTCAGGTTGAAGCCTGGCCTCCTTCCCCTTTTAACTGAAGTTTGTCAGAGAGACAAATGGGTCACAACTGATGTTTGATGGTGGCATGAAAGTCCTTAGACATCCATACCGCCCTTCGCGTTTGACCCCTACCTGGCTGGGGTGAGATAGATGAAGATATTATTCATCTGTTAACGGAGGATGGCGGGCTAAAAATTGATTAAGCCGAACTGAGCGCGTGTCAGCTGGCTCGTATCCTTCCGTGTATTTATAACGTTCACAATAGCTTTCCAATTTTTGATAAATCCCAACTTCATGCCGGGTATTTGTTGATGTTGTTGACGCCAATGATACCGATGCTGTGCATATTGTACTTTTGTTTTCCGACACATTTTTGGAAGCGTAGAAGGTTTTCACGCGTGCTCCCCGTCATATGGTGCTCAAGTATTTTCGTTCTCGTTGACATTTCGTTAATCAATGTTATTTTTTTGTCTCCACGTTCTCTGAAAACAATGTTTTCCATGCTCAATTGCAAATAATTTCCTAGAAAGAACCCACATTAAAGGTAAACGGGAAAACATGAATGGCGTCGTGATATACGTTTTTCATGTACCTTAGATTAGATCTGATCAAACTGATGGAGTTTGTCGAATGAAAGCTTAACATTTTGCCCACTGAGAGTTCTTATTACCAATGAAAGGTAGAACTTGAATCTCTGGCGTACAATGGATCCGAAACAAGCACTGGAGTGAGAATGTTTATTGTTTATTGAGCATTATTTTTGTTAAAGCAATTTTCAATCAAGATTTGATCATAGTTCTCCTGATTTAGTTTTGTGTTGAAGAGGATCGACTTCAATGAATACTTGATTATATTTCGATACAAGGTGTTCAAAATAATAAAATTGTGAAAAAAATCTGTTTTCTTTCAACTTGTCCATCTTTCGAACAAAAAAAGTGGGGAACTTTTTCTTCCTTGCTCTGTATAATTGCTGGAAGACGTTCTTAAAACCGATTGGCAGAAATGAAATGAAGAAAACAGAAACTTTTCTGATGACTTTCTAATATATCGAAATTCTAACTCAGTTTCATTCTCACTGCTAGTTCCATAACTTGATAACAAATAACTTGATATTTGTTTGTTACTATTATTGTTTAATAATATTTCAAGTTCATTATTGTTTTCCTTTCTGATTCTCTATTGATCAAATAGTATCACAACAAGAAATTGACAATAATAAAACAACAATGATTGGTGTTTTTTAAGTACTGGATTTCGAGAGATAAACATTAATATGAAAACATAACCAAGTCGATAACCTGTTGCAAAACAGTATTGCAAAATACAGGTTCCGCCAATTCCGATTAACTACAATAAAGAAGATACAGTGCGATCATAAAAAGTCCCGCTTCTTGTAACATTTGAACGAAACAAGATATTGAAGTCGATCAAAGTTTTCATGAGATGTCATAATTTTTACTACTTTTTGATCAAAAGTAATATACGTGTGGTATTACTGGTCGCCCAGAGGCACTATCAACTTTTTTAGTAATAGAAAGGATGGTCCTGCAATATTTCGTTTGACAGGTCTTTTGATTTACTGTCCAACATTGTTTTTTGAGTAGAACTAGCCATTTTCTAATGATAGTTATAAATTCTTTTCGAAAATCTACAGTCATGAGAAGAGAGAAGAAATCGAATACTAAAATTTGAATTCAAGACAATAATGAAGACTGTCGAGGTATTCATTTCACGCACTAACAAATGATTTTATGATAATTTTGTTGCAAATATGTCTCATTCTAACTAAGAGTTCTGGAATGGCCTGAGGTTGTTTAGATCTCACGCAATCCATTAAAAAATCCAAAGGCGTCACATCATTAGGAACGACGTCATTATGACAGGTTGTTTTGCCACATGTTCCCCAGGGATCCATATCGTCTTCAACCCTCTCCTTTTTTTGAATATCAACGACCTATTAGAAAAATCACGAATTCAATATATTGCTTTGCTGACGACAGCACACTTGTTTCGTTATTCCATTTGGATACCAGGACATCGACTGCAGATACACATCTTCACTGGCAGCAGAAGGTTTCATATCTTAATGAGGATCTAGAGGTGATTTTGAATTGGGGTGAAAGTAACCAGGTTGAACTCAATGCCACAAAAACTCAGGCATCGGTTTTCTCCAAAAAGATAATATCTCCGGATCGGATATAATAATGTCAGGACAGACAATTCCGCTTTCTGCTTCGCTAAGTTTGTTGGACATTAAAGTGTATTGGCGCAATCGTGTCGCGGGAATTGCGAAAGCTGATTCTCAAAAGCTTCGAAAACTTTTCCGAACCAGAAAACTGTGCACACCCCAGCAATTTTTGATGCTTTATAAAGCTCAGATCAGACCTTCTTTGAAGTATACCCTGAAGCTGCTGGATAGTCTGGATAGTGCTTGATAGTCTGGAACATCGAAGATAGGTTGGTGATTTATCTGTCTTCAATAGATACTTTCTTGGGAGGTGTTCGAGTGACTTAACAAATTTGATTCCACTATATCAGAAATACGCGACAGACTGTGGCTGCTCATCGTACACATCGAACTTTACTGCTTAAGAACTCGATCATTTGTGGAACTGTGTTTCTATGGGATAAACTTCCTGAGAATATTTTTCCGAATGAATTTAAGCTTCAGCGATTCAAATCCAACGTGAATCAATACTTTCGCACAGGCTCCGCTCTTAGAACGCCTTAAGGATTTTCCTGTAGTGTTTGTGTTCTGTCCTCAAAAAAGTGGCTGGATGCCAATTATCAAAACCAGTGAATAAGCAAACAGGGCTGTTTGCCCCGCTACATCATCTGATGTGATGCTCTCAGATTTTCTGTTGGGAATCTAAATAATACGTTTCATACGTAGAAGATATGTATAAATCTTTCAATGCATGCCCAGCAATTTTCTAACATCTTTCTGAAACATTTGATTGTATTAATCATGATATACTGCTTTGGAGACTCAGTACTAGTGCAGAGAAACAATTTTCAAATGGTTTGAATCATGCCTATGATGATGTAATCAAGTGGTCAACGCAACGGGCACCTCAGAGAGAGGGGAGCTGAATCTGGTGTTCCACATGGTCCCGTATTGGGTCCATTTCGTTTTTATCATATGTAACTGATTCAACAGAGATTGATATATCAGACAGCCTC